TGTTCTTCAATAAAAAAAATCCTCGTCAACAAAACAATAGCTATCATTTGTACTTTATTTTTAATATCGGTTGATTCGTCGATTTGAAGCGCAATTTTTTCAGCCAATATCGCTAAAATATCGCTACAGTATCGGCGACAACAAAACTTTATTTACTTCCTTAACATCATTGGGCCCAAGCATAAGTCAAACAATTTCCATGCATGCTGTTTTAATAAGTGTTTCGCCAATAGTATGTATAGTATTGTCTTATTTGACCGCGTCACATCTGTATCCCGATACCGACATCAGTTTAAAATTTATTAAGAGTTCAAAAGTAGCGCTGTAGACCACCAAATACACGTAAGTATTCCCCTAATGACAAAATCAATCAACAATATCCATCCGAGGGCTCTCCTAACACCGGTGTACTGAATTGCTGAGACCCCGATTCGAAAGTTGTTAATTAGTGTAGTCGTCCCACATGTATTTTCCCCCTGACCCCAGTAACTTAGGCCAGTGTAAAAAATCTCAAATTAGTAAAAACAGTGGCTGGCGAAATTGTGCAAGACGATCAGGCCAAGTGAAGTGTGGAAATGTAAAGAAGAAGAAGACATCTGTATTGGCTCAAGGCTACAAGGTATATCAGTGCTACAGGTACTCCTCACTTTAAGACCTATCTGCTTAAAGACCATTCCCACTTACGATCAATTGAGTTTCGACCTGCAACATGAATACATTTGAAGTTTGTCCTATATGCCAAGCTTTTCGCTTTGAAAAGAAAAATACAGAGAATAAACTTTTCCATATATAATTTATTTATTTTATATATATAATTTAAATGAAACCTTAAAAAAAACTTGTGAAAATTAAAAATAATTGATAAAAAATTTAAATCTACAAATTTTAATAAATATTTTGAATTGGTCAAAATTTTAATAAATTTATCAAAATCAATGAATGAGTTTTCTTATTTAGCTTTTGAAAATAAATTATCTGAAACTTATTTTTGGAATTTCTAACAATTGTTAAAGACATTTCAATTCTATCTAAATTTTAGTAATTAAAAACATATTCACAGTTAAAGTCATTTTCTTTAATGAAAAAAAAAACACCAAAACTGCCATATAGTTTTTAATATTTTCTTAAGAAATTGCTGTTTTAGGTCAATTGGTTAACAAAAGTTGTAAGTAAATTATCAAAAATATTTCTGTAGGAAAATGAGTTTTTATGAATTTTGTTAATACGCAGTAAACAATTTGGTACAAATACGGTACAAATAGAAAACACAACGTAACAATTGTTTTATTACGCTAGCAAAGAGGATTCGATTTAAATAGTAACATGTCATTTCGTAGTCATTTGGTCGGAGCGTGCGTCAGGTATTCTTCGGAGCCGACAATGAGCTGCTTCTTCCTCTCATTCCGTCGTCGATGGTTGCGGTTTGCGTTGAGGTTTATAGATGCGGTTGAAGGAAAAAAAACTATTAGATTTTCTGGCTCGATACCATCGGCGGTGGCGGCGGCGGCAACAGCAGCAGAATCGAGGACAAAAGACCACCGACCAATGAAGAAGGCCAATGTGTGCGCATATATCAAAGAAAACACAATCAGAACTGTAACAAAGGAATGCGATTCAACAACAACAACAACCATCATCATCATCATTGCCACCAACATCATCGTCTTCTCTCATTCTTCTCGTTGTTCGTACTCTTCTGCTGCTGCGGCGGTGATTACAAACGGGAACTTGATACGTACAAATTACACAATTACGCCTGGTGGCTTTCGGATTTAATAATGAAATAATCGCGCCGGGGCGAGAGAGGCGGGAAGAAATGGAGAAAAAAAACGAAAAAATAATTATGTGGGACTGTTGAAGATGGAAGAAGAAAAAAATAAAGAATTGAATTGGAGGATGTGAAAAGAGTTCGAATCGAGTCGACGTGAGTAAGCGATAAGAGCTCAAGATGGACGCCGAAATGACTTTAATTAAGCTTAAATAATACAATGGGCGGCGGGTCTTCAAAAAGGCACCGCTCGCACAATGAGCCTTGGAGGAGGATTTTAAGGATGAGAGATGGAAGGCGATGGAGGCGCTGCTGTTTTGTTTCTGGGCTTCGTGATGCGAGTATTCAATTAGACGGAGTAATCCGTAGATTATTGGTTTTATTGGATTTCGGTGTCAAACTAAGTACGGACGTGACTCCCTCTTCCGGGGGAATACGGTGAGCGAAGATCAGCGGGAGGCGGCGCAATTAACGCGAGCATCCTCTTCATCCATCCATCCACATCCATCCATTCACCCCTAAATTAGACCACCCCTTTTTTACGCAATTAGGTTAAAAGCGACCACTCGGCATTAACAAATTACCGATCATTATTTCGCACTCTCCTTCGTGCCCCAACCAACATGGGATAATTACGCTCATCCAATTTCCATCCATTGAGTGTCACACCGATAATCCCCTTTTCCGAGACAATCAAATCCATCCTCCCATAAACAATTTACTTAAATCTGCTGCACGCTAGATAATCGCATCAAACAATTAAACCACCATGGCAACAAACCATCGTGGAAGGTTCTGACAAATCTCATATCTATTTAACTAATAATAAAAATAAATTACAGTTTAAAGTGTCAAATTTGACGTTATCAACTGCAGCTAGCTAGAAATTACTGATTACGTATTTTTATTATTGTTGTAATCAATGTAACACTGTAATAAATATAAATTTATTTGAATTAAGATATTAAGTAATTAAATTTTGAAATGTCAAATTTGACGTTTACATGTTGACACCTCAGTTTATTACGTAATTCGACGTAATGGAATGCTATTAATTTGACAATTTGAAATATCATATTGTACGTTGGCGTGTTAATTTACCTGTTTTTTTTGATTGAATCGTATTTACCTATAATTTAAAATAAAATCATGCATATCGTCAGTATCAAATGTCACATTTCAATTTTTAGGATAGTAATTGTTTAATTTATGATGTTATTTAATGGTTGATATTGAGCAATAATTCACAGTGATTTCAAGCAATTTATATAATATGGTAACAAGAAAAGAAAATAAATGATTGTATTCAATTTTGAAAATTTTTATAAACTTTTCTCAATGAAAAAAATCGTTCAAATCACCAATTCAAAATATTTATTAATACTTTTAGATTTAAATTTTCAAAAATAATTGATCAATTATTATTAATTAATACAAGTATATTTGATCTTTCATATCATTTCAATAGTTAAAATTTGATTTTTTTTGCCAAAATACGACAAAAATCTATATTCGTATACTCTAAATACGGTACACGGCAATAAATTATTTTCTTACCGTCTTTTCTTCGCACAGTAACGAATAGCAGGTTTTATGGTACCATAAAATTGGACGGTTTCTGTTGGGGGTTTCGGTACCTAATTTTTATTAGGTTTTTATTTAATGGTTTACGAAGTGAAAGAAAAAAATAAAACAATCATCTTTTTTGAAGAGACCTATTCGAAAACTACAAAAAAAACTAACCATTACCATAAAGTAAAGTTTTACAATGGCGATAAGATGTAATTGAGAATTGTTACACTGGAAATAGAGTTTTAATGAAGTGTTTCTCATAAAAGTAAACAACAAACAAGATAAATGAAATACTGATGCTTCGTGCACTTTATTTATAATATAATAAACAAACTAATTAATCGTAATCATAATTTAAGAGTTAAGCAATGCTTGATACATGTAATACTTAGTTTGGTGATATTTGGATTTAAAGTAATTGAATTGAAACTATGAAATTTGTAGTTTATTATTATGTCAATTAATAACACTAACAGTCAAATGTGAATGTGTTATAATTAATTGTGTTGCGAAAAGAGTAACAAATCATTAAATTTAATTTCACATTGTTGCAATATTTTAATTACTAATGAAATTATATAAATAAAAATAAAGTAATTACACATTTTTTGATATAAGGCATTGTCTGCTCTCCTCGTCCATTGTTATTATTTTCTTAATATTAATCTTTATAAAAGAGAACAACATTACTTCTTATTCCGTTTTCTTTTAAATGTCGAAAATTGTATTAAAGCAGTATTTTTTAATCTTTCTTTTACCTCATGGTACAATTGAACTTACAGTTAAAGTACAGTGATAAACTTAAATTGATGCATTTTGAAAATTATTTTAGTTAATTATTTTTTAAAAAAGCGATATTATTATCCTAATATTTTTCATGTAATTATTTCTCTCTATCTTCCTGAATTGTTTTGTTTATAAGAAATAATTAGTTTTTTTTTTACCCTTTGCTTAAAATAATAATATATTTATTGGTAAAAGTCAATAAATGTATTTACAAAAAAGAAACGTAAATAATGAGAAGCATTAAATCAAATCATTAGTATAAAAAATTCAACAATAGATGAAACAAAATAACCACTAAAAAATAGAAATAAACCTATTATTAAATAGAATTTCATATAAAAAACACATTTCTTATACATGTTATAATAAATTAATTACAAATAAATATAAAATTATGCTTTAAATGAATTAATTGTCAGTAATTTTTATATTAAATAATGGAACATATTTCGAGTGAAAACCTGAAGATATTTTTTAATAATTGAAGTTCTTATTTCGTACTACTGTTGCAAGAAACGTTATATTATTATAGAAAATAGTAACAAACAACAGGAAAATAGAAATATTGTACTTCCTATAAATAATAAGTGATTGCAATATTGTGAAAATATGCTTAGTATCAAAATGTGATCGAGTTTGTTGTTGTTTAGTTGTTGTTGTTAGTAAGGAGAGCGCGCGCGATATCAACAAGTGGGAGAGAGATTAGTAAACACCCCCTGCGGCGATTGGCGCAGTGTGAGCCAACGGCGGGCGGCCGCGAGCTCAGCGGGCCAATGGCGGGGGTCCGACCTGGCGACCAATAGGAGGAAAGCGGCGCGCCCGAACCCCGACATGGACCGCTCGACAACAGCTCAGTCAAGCTGTGATACTCGCTCGAAAAGGTTATGCTGCTAAATGGACTCATAACGATACATGCATAACGCAAACACACATATTTTCCGATTTGTACGAAAGTTTACGTTTCTCAAATTCGCGTCGTGATTAAACTAATAATTAAAATCCAATTGATTTTCCGGTTCGGAGTTCTTGTGATTTTTTTTTGGTGAGAGTGTGCCAGTTCTTCCTTCTTATGTTGACGTAGGTGAGGTTGTCGGTTGAATGATGATGAACGCGGCGTTCTTGGATGGTGGTCATCACCATCATCATCTGAGCTCTTATGGCCTGAAGATGAGTCCGGGCCCCCAGGAGGCGCTGCAGAATTCGGCTGTAGCCGCTTCCGACGCTGGCCAAAATCACCACTTCCAGACCAACTACGGCCACATGGGTCACCTGAACCATCCGCACGCTGGATACGCGGCGCGCGATTTCCTCCTGCGAAGGGATCACGATGGGTTCCCGACGGCGCAGACGGCACCCACGGACCCGGTGCTTTTCCATCATCATCACGGTGACATCGCTCCTCACCATCAGCACCTCTCCGCCCCTCACCACCAGATGCTTTACTCAAGGAGCGATCACCACGCAGCAGCAGCCGCAGCCGCCTACCACACCCAGCCCAGTCACCCCCAATACTTGAACGCACACATGCCGATGCCGCATCATCCAAGTAACGTTCATGGTGCCTTCTTCAGGTACATGCGGCAACCCATCAAGCAGGAGATGCAGTGTCTCTGGGTCGACCCAGAGCAACCGCCTCCGCGGAAGACATGCGGCAAACATTTCACCAGCATGCACGAGATCGTCACCCATCTGACCGTCGAACACGTCGGCGGGCCAGAGTGCACGACGCACGCCTGCTTCTGGCAGAATTGCTCCAGGAACGGCCGCCCCTTCAAGGCCAAGTACAAACTCGTCAACCACATCCGCGTCCACACGGGCGAAAAACCCTTTCCCTGCCCGTTCCCAGGATGCGGAAAAGTCTTTGCCAGAAGCGAGAACCTCAAAATACACAAACGAACGCATACCGGTAAGTTTCAACTCAAATTCTCATACATATTACAACTTTTAAACAAAACTTTAACATCGCGAATCAAACAATTTCATATCCGAACTACAAAATCCTATTAGATTAAACAACATCTCAAATTTGATTGTTTTTCACGAATTATTTCAAGAGAAACGCAATATCAAACTTATAAGAACAAAATCAAAAATCTGAAGTAAAGAGCTAAAAGTCTCACCAGAGATAAATTCACAAATATAAAAATATTACATTTAATCATAAGTCCAAAACAAAAACGTATAAGATTGATCAATAGAAAAATAACATTACTTACATTTTAAAATCACGGTTTATTTTAAACGAAACGCAATAGAAAACTTGTAACAACAAAATTGAAAGTAAGATATAAACCGCTCAAATCTGACCAGAAATATTTACAAGACACAAAAATATCGATAAATTAAAATCGACTTGAAAAAAAAAAACGACGAAAAGGCAATATTTGTACTAACTAAATTGTAATAAGAAATAAAAATCTCATATTTACATAATGCCAAAATAAAATAATAAAATTTCTTCGAAAAAGAAATAGGAAATATCAAAATTACGTAAGTTGTATAAAAAATCTATCTTCACTCATCTTTACCAATCAAACATAAAATATCAAATTTGAAAAAATAACTTTAAAATATTTACAAAATGCTATAAAATTAAAAAAAATCTTACCATTTTAAAATAGAAACCATAAATTTAATTTTATACATGTATTCAATTAAATATATGTAAATTATTATTTAAGTTAATTAATTTCGAATGATTTAGTTTCAATAGGTGACTTCAAACTTCATCTTTCGAATTTCATTTAATTAAATTCTTATCAAAGTTTACATTTGCGAATCAAATAAATTACAAGAGTTATTATCAAATTAAGTTGATAAACATTTTACTTATTTAAGAAAATATTAATATTAAACGTGTATTCACTTTAAAATAAAATAGTAAACTAGTGATATTTCATTCTGTTAAACGAGGATAAAGATTTTTTTTTCAAATCGATTTTATCTTCAATAAAATTTTAAAAGCAAAATCAAGTAAACATTTTCAAGACATTTAACACTTTTTATTCAAAACTACATATTTTTTAACAAAATTATTTAAGCAAATAAAAAATATAATTATATCTAGTATTTATTTTTCTGTTTTTATTGAAATATGATATTTTTAAACGTAAATTTACAATTCAATCTAAATATTTTATTTTTTTTTTAAATACACTGAACGAAAATAGAAATGTTAATTCTGTTAAATCTATATATTTTATTGTTTTGTAAATTATAGGATTAAAACCATTACAATGCAATAATTTTAATCCTATAATTTACAACACATAGTAAATACGATCTTCTTTTTTTTTGAAAAAGTGAGATTTAAAATTTTTGAAAATCAATTATACTAATCTAGAATATATACACGATTTATTCGCAAATAAGTGATTTGGATTATTGCATGCAGTAAAAATGCGGTATTTTATGCATGCACGGAAAAATGAGCATTAACCACAGAATCAAAAGTTCTTCGGATGATTCTTGAATAGTTATTACGCTTCTTAGAAATTTTTACCTGAACACGTTGAAGGCGATGAACAACAGCAAAAGTCAAGAATAAGAGAAAGAAAGAAAAAAAAAGAAGTTATATTGCGACTTTCCGAAAACTGTCCAGAATCGTTCGGATGAGGAATGATTTTTTCCACCTTTTCCATCACGCACAATGCCGACCGACGTCGTTAAAAACTATTCCGAAATTACTTCGAGATATATTTATCAAATCCATTGTATATTTTTCCACATTATAAATTACGTTTGTGTATTCAATGACAAATTTTGATATAATTAATTTATCTAGTGAATAGTTAAACATTAATAAACTTAATTAATGAGTTATTTCAATAAGGACGTAACTATGTTTATATAGTACTAAAGCATAGTGACTAAACGCAAGTGTTGTGAGATTCAAATAAAATTGATGGAAGAAAACGTTTGCCGTCGGAACGCTTGAAATCTTTCATTTTTGATTCTTAATAAATATAAGCCATACGATTTTATTTTAACACTAGCACTGTCAAAATGCACTGTCAATTTTTTTTTTATTTAATAATATAATATGAAATGAAATATAGACGTTAACAAGTTGATTTTTGAATTAATATTTTTATGTTGGCTCCATGATTTCTATCGCAAATATTAACTCCCAAAGTATCATTTATGTATGTCATTTTGGGAAGATTTTAAATAACTGAGAAATTTGATGTTTTTGAACTAATTTCTTTATCGTCGATTATATTTTTTACGTCAAAGTTACATATCAGATTAATATTGGTTATTTTGTGAAAATTTTAAGTAATTGAAAAAAAATGTGATTTTATAATTTTATGCTACATGATTTCTATAGCAAAACGTAATGTTAAAGTGACATTTTTGTCGGATTTTCAGTATTAAGAAATATTGAATGTTATAATTTAGAAGCATGTTTTTTTAAATTTGACTTACGTGATTACTATTGGTACGACACGGAAATTGTAACTGTCAAAGTGACAGTTTGAAAAATGCTATCGTGTTATTAGAGATGGAATTGGTACTTGAGAATTCCGTATTTTGAATAGAGCGTTTTTAGGAGATGGTAGGATGATGATTGAATGCAGAGAAGATGTGTATGGGTGGGCCGTAGATCAAATATTAAAAAGGTTTCACTGTTTCATTCCTCCCTTCCGGGGCCATTTTTTCACCACCTACCATCATCCGTTTCGTAACGAATTAATTGTTTTGAATCTCGGGGCGTTCCGTACTGAAATAATAAGCTTCTTCTGTTGAGTGAGTGAGTGTGTGCATAGGTATAAATATAATTTGAGGAGAGGATGGGCGGACCCATCGCAATTAGGCCGCCGGCCCCGGTAGCCCAAACCCATTAAGACAAAGGCCCTAAACGGCCCATAAATCGATCTCCATCGCAGATCGAATCCTCTAAGTAAAAGAAGAACAAAAAAAAAGGAAAAGGAAGAAAATTCAGAAGCTAGAAAACCGAATCGAATGGCTCCAGGAAAAGTGCAGTCTTTCGTTCGTTCTCTCGCGCGCGCCAACAAAATAACTTTACCTTCTTCGGAAGACGAGAGAACAAGAAATAAATAAATAAGAAAGAGAAACAGAGAAAAGGATGCGGTTTTGTTTCGGTTTTTCTCTGTTTGGAAATATAAAGGAGCTGTTTCGAGATTTACTGCCGGCAGATCGTAAAGTTGATATCAAATATATTCTATATTATGTGAGGACGCCTCGTATAAATTTTACGGCCACGCAAAAAACGAAACAAGACACACAGAAAGAAAGACGAAGAAACGAAAAACAAACATCAGCTGAAGTAGAAGAAAAAAAAGTTTTTCGAGGAGAGAGAAAAAATCGCGCAGAGGATGATGATGATGCCTCGCTCGAACAATGCGCGCCCGCACGAACCCCAGTATATATATGTATACACAAGTTTCAATTCCTTCCCAAACAAACAGAGAGTTATTTTTAAAGGACTTCATATTTCACCGTTTTATTGCCATCTTCTACTCCTTTATTTTCTTCTTCATTCGTTATCCACGGCACAAACAGAACGTCTAAAGAGAGAGCAGACATAACAAACTAAACGAATTTAATTATTTTTTTATTTCTTTGACAGTCCAACCTGCTTTAGTTTTCCTAAGCGGAGCGCAAATAGCTGCAATGTCTCTCGCCCAACCTAGATTCTCATTTCGCTTCGGATTAAATCATTAATTAAATCGATCGTAATTGCTCGTTTATCTTGATCCTCTCTTTTTTTCGTACCGAATCCCCTAGAAAACGGGATCACGTTCCCTTTACCGATGACCTTTCAAACTGTCAAATTAAACGTTTATCTATCACCGTTCGTTTGACATTTAATTTACATCAAAATGAATATCAGTTTGTCAAATACTAAAAATTCGTTAATGCAATCAAGATTATAACTCGATACCAAATTACCATCACAAATATATTGTTTTTAGGTTATTGATATTCAATTCATTCAATTACCTTAATTATTATTACAATTAGTTTTAAAATTTACTTATCGATTTTTTTAAATTAAATCCTTTTAATTCGTTCAAATTAAATGTTAATATAAAAATGACGTTTATTAATTTTTCAATACTGAATTGAAAGTGGGTATTGTTATACCATGAGATAAAATTCCATTCGTTCATGACGTTTAAAACTGTCAAATTAAACGTTAATGACGTTTATTAAATGTCAAATTAAACGTTAATGACGTTTATTAAATGTCAAATTAAACGTTAATGACGTTTATTAAATGTCAAATTTTAGATTCTAGTTGATGTAATTTGATGATGTTGATGATCAGTTTTTTATCGCGTATTTGCGACGGCGGTTGTTTGGTGTTGTGTGCACAATGGGAGTAGTCGATTAGAGGTGATTTTCAACGGCAACATTGCGTCCCCTTCTTGTCGCCTTGTTCCATCGATAAGGGAGAGGGCAAGGGGCGACGCGAAAAGGGCCCTCCCGAGGCCAATCGTAAATATTAATGAAAATCTGCGTAACCCTCGGACGTAAATACTCGCATTATCCGTGTGCGAGGACAACGAAGATGTTGATGATGATGAGGTCGAGGGGGAAACTCGACGATGATTGCGACCCAATTATGCGTCGTGTCATCCGCATCCGTCAAAACATTGCGGAGGGAGAACGCATTTACACAAATACACATTCAATTATCCGCAAATTCGAACTAAATAAACTGGTTCCTTTATTTGATCTATATAGAATATATAAATCAATTTTGTAAGTATCAATTTGACTATCATCTAAACATTTTGTTACAAATTATTTGCTGAGAGTTTATTTAAATATATTCGAATTTATATAAATACAAGTAATAATAAAAATAAGTTTATAGTTTCAAATGTCATTTAAAAATAAAACAATGTATGTCAAATTTCGAATGTTTATTTGTTT